TTGTGGAAGAGATAAAGAAAAAACTGTCCAATGAGCAGAAGAGAACTGCCCCATCTCTGACAGACGGCAATGGGATACACTCCCCCATTTCCAACCTAAGACAATCCCTTTTATCAAGTCCTAAATGCTCTCTCCAAATCTGTTTCTCACACCTGAGTATTCCAGCCCCTGCACCACCTTATCTGCCAGTTTGAGGAGCTGTACCTTGGTGTCTGCATAAACAACTCTACTGCTTCTCAAATGTTTTAAGATCAAGCTGCTTTTGATATGCAGAAGGACCCAAAATGTACATTTCCTATTACCCTCCTTGTTGTAAAGCTAAACATACTCCATTTCCCCTCATCCCTCCCTTTCCAGGTAGCATTGAAAATATAATGTAAACCAGAACCCCAGAACCCATGAGACAACATCCCAGGCATCCCTGCTTGACAGCATCCTCGAATTTCCAGTAAATGTTAAATTTTGTCATGGCTTTTTTTCTGATGATTTGTGACATGCTGACAGGTGAATTGATCACAGGTGACATTAATATGAGTGGCTGACACAGCATTTGCAGCACTCTGTCCGGTCCACTGCTTGCTGTTTTCTCTCTCCTTTGTCATTTCTTTTGAGATTAGTGCTTTGGAAGAGCTGCAGGTCTTTGCTATTATTCTCTACTCCATAAAAACTCAATTACTGGAGTCTGACAGCCTGCCTGGAATCCAGGAGGAAAAAGAAGGGTTCAGCCAAAGGAAATGCAGGACCCAGCTGTGCCATCCTCTGGTACCACAGACCCCTCCCAGGCCCCAGGAACCAGCAATTAATGCTAATTAAGAGGCAGCTTCCTTTGGGAGTTTTGGGCTAGTTTTTTACTATGAATTCAAGGGAAATAGAGGAGAAGGGGGTTTTGGCAAGGCCAGGTGATGGTGCTGAACCCGGGTGGGTGCAACCCTATCATCAGTCCAGGCTGGGGGATGAACAGACCAGGAGCAGCCCTGACAAAAAGGATTTGGGGTCTCTGTCCATGGCAGGGGGATTGGAACTGCATGACCTTGAAAGGTCCAGTCTGTGATTCTGTGAGTCTATGAAAAAGTATGTTTTAGCAAAGTTCTGTCAAAAAAATAAACCAAAACCCACCATAAATTGGATATTATTGAAAATCACTTTTTTTTTCTTGTTTCTGCAATTTAATATATTTATTATGCTTTTAATATATTAATATGCACAAAATATAATTGATAAGAAATGTGTATATAATATATATCTTAATTCTATTTGTTGATGTTTGTTTGTCAGCAAATGGAGAAATAAAAGACCTCAGCTTTTAAAGCTTTTAAATAAAACTTCTACCCTTTTGTTTATCTTCCCTGGTCAGATGCTCCTGTTTGGTTCAGTGGCATTAATGGAGTGAGGAAGGAGATAAAAAAGTGGCTGCAAGAGCTCAGCCTGCAAAGACGATGGTGAACCTTTTCTTCAGGTTTGAAAATTGTTCTTTAGTATCAGAAATAAAATATTTTGCTCAAATTTCAAGTTTTATTATAAATTTTAAAAATTAAATGTAAATTAGAAGACAACTTTAAACACAATAATTTAAAATATTTACATTGAAGTTGTCAAGGCTGATTTTTTCAGAAACACATGGAAGCTTATTTTGACTAAAGTAATGGAATCAATCTAACTTCACAGAAAGCTCTGGTTCACACATTACTTATTTCTCATGCCTTATAGAAAATACTTTGTTATTATTAAAGGAAAATGCAGGAATGAGGGTGTGTTTGGCTGTGACTTAATTTTTGCCTTTCCTTGCCTTTCCTTTTTTAAAAATTTTATTATGTTCAAAGGACAATCTGCTATTTCTGAAGCAATAAATATGACACAAAATGATCCAAACGTGCTCTTCCATCACAATTTGATTGTTAATGTCACAGACAAGCCTGAAACTTGAGAGGCCAATTGCCAGCCAGGAGCTGAGCTATTCCAGGGAGGGGACGGTAAGTCTGAGTTTCTTTACTTCCCATCAACCCTGATCAAGACATTTCCTTTTGAAAAAAGGAAATCCTTTGAAAAACCCATTGAAAAAAATTCTCCAGTGTTATTTTTAGTGGTGAGTGAAGCCAGCTTTCAAAACCTTTGCAACAGCCTTTGGAAAACAAATGGAAAAGGAGACCGGCGTGCCAATGACAGCAATTCAGTGTGAAGAACTGATGCCTTTGAGTGTGATTTGGGGGTTGTTTTAGGACAGGAGCCATGGCCGAGGGTTACACCCGCCCTTCTTCGTGTGTGACATTCACCCCAGCACTCAAAGATTTTTACACCTGCTTTTGCCAAGTTCATTTTCTGAGCTCCCTGAGGAACCCCAGAGGTTCCGGTCCCTCCGTGAGCCCAGAGCCGCAGCTGGGGACAGGACCAGTCCTTTCTAGGCCAGGTCAGCCAGGCTGACCATGCCTAAAGAACCCACTGCCCAGTTCCCAAAATCCAGCACCCAGCATTCCAACCCCATCCCAAAATCCAGCACCCAGCATCCCAACCCCATCCCAAAATCCACCATTCACCATCCCAACCCCATCCCAAAATCCAGCACCCACCATCCCAACCCCATCCCAAAATCCAGCACCCACCATCCCAACCCCATCCCAAAATCCAGCACCCAGCATCCCAGCCCTCCCAGAGTCGGGGACAAGGCAGAGCGGAGTGACATCTCACCAACCTCCTGCCACAGGTTCCTCTTCCAGCACGGGATTTTTCGGGTTTTTCCGCTTAGTTTATGAACAAAACACCCTGTCTGGCAAACAGGGGAGCCAAACCCACGGAACGCCTCTTATTTTTTATTGCTGTTTTCACGCATCAGGTCGCCGTGTGCCCGTAGCTGCCGAGGGGAGTGGGAAGGGCTGGTTGGAAAGCAGGGAAAGGAGAGCAGCGTTTCCCCGCGGAGCCCCGTTCCCCGGGGGGAAGGAAGGTTTCCCGGCTGGAGCGGGAGGAGGAGAGACGGGGGCGGCTCCTCCGCCTTCCTCGGTAAGTGCTGCCGCCGGAATCCCCATCCCCATCCCCATCCCCATCCCCATCCCCATCCCCATCCCCATCCCCATCCCCGGGCAGATCCTGACAGCCCGGCCAGGGCTCCCCTCGGGCAGGGCTGCCGCTGCTGCTCCCCGCTCCGGGGGATACCCCAGGCACGTCCTGAACCCTCTGCCCCTTCAAATACGATCTCCCCCTCGGGAAGGGCTCCCCCCTCTTCCTCCCCACCTCCAAGACAGATCCCCTCCGCGGGCAGGACCCCAGTCCTTCCCCGGGCTGATGCAGATGCAGATGTGCTCCGCAGCATCCTCGGGTTTTGCCCTACCCGGGGCCGGGGGTTTTGCTGCCCTGGGGGTTGGGGGTTTTGTCCCCAGAATTTTGGCTGGTTTGACCCCAGGAAGGGTGGATTTGGCACCCCGGGGCTGTAGATTTGTTCCTCGGGAGTAGCGTCCTTGTACTCAAGGTGTTGGTGCTTTTGCACCCCAGGCTTTGGGGGCTTTTGCACTGCAGGGGTTGGGGGTTTTGCTCCCCAGAGGGTGAGGGTTTTGCCTCCCCAGGTTTTGGGTTTTGGCACCCGGCTCGGTCCCTAAGGCCGGTGAGCGCCCCGGCGCTGGCAGCGCGGGTTTCACCTCGGCTCGAGTTCGGCCGCGGTGATGTCGCCCCGGTCCCTCCTCTGTCCCCGGGGCAGGCAGCGGCTGCCGGAGCCTTCCCTCCTGCCGGGGCCGATCCCAAACGCTGTGCCGGCTGTGGGCGAGGATTCCGTGCCGGGAACCATCAGCAGCCAGGCTGGGCTGGGCAGGCACCGGGCTCCCCCGGGTACCCCGCAGTGGGAAAACAGCGCCGGGCTGCCTCCGCCGGCGCTTCGTACGGCAAGGACGCGGTGTTTTACCGTGATCCCAGCCCCGCGGCTCTCCCAGGGGCTGTAGGAGTGCAGGGTTGGCGGTGGAAAGAAATCGTGCCCTGAGAAATGCTGTCCTTCCGACGGGAAAGTTGGATGGAGAGAGGGAGGGAGGGAGGGAAGGAAAGTCAGTGCGGAGCTCACTCGCTGCACGGCCCCCGCGGGTGAGTGTCCTGCTGGTGGGAGCATCCCCAGGCATTCTCCCTCTCCTTTTCTCCTTTATCACCACCCACAGCCTTCCACAGCTCAACAAATTGCTCGCACTGTTCAACAATCGCTGAGCTGTTGCAGTTTTCTCATGGGGAGGAGGAGGGAAAGGTGTGCGAGGTCCCGGGACAGGCGTTGTTCCCTGCTGCCATGTGCTGCTTTGTGCCTGACTCGGCAGAGCAGCAGAGCCTGGCAGCAAATAATTCCCAGTAATATATTTCCAGTTTTCATCATTCCTCTAAGATTTTAAAGTGCAGTCGGCCTTGAGATTGCAGAGCTTTTTTTTTTTTTTTTTTTCCCTCCACTGCCACCAAACTATGCCTTTTACCGGTGAAATTAACCTTTAGCTTGGGATTTGTCTGCTGAATAAATTAGGTCAAACTTTCTGGATATTAAAGGGGAACAGAAATGGTGGAGCTGCTTTGGTCAGGCAGCCTCAGAGCAGAATCCAGCCCATCAGTTTTTTGAAAGGAAGTAAAATTGTAATGTCTAAAAAAGAACAGTGCAAATCCTGAGGCATCTGAGATCCCCAGGAAACCTGGGAAGATCCCACATCATGGTACAGTTGGGAATTTATCCCTTTGGTATTAGAGGGCTCTTACAGGAAAGACTGAATGACTGATGTTGTAGAAAGACTCTGGGCTATCTCAGCAGTGTAACCACATGGGCTGCTGCAGCTCACAGGAGCATTTAAAAGCTCCAATATTTTAAGCTGAGGAAGTGCATCCCTGGGAAAGATGGCATATCTTGTTTTGTCCCAGTAATTTCCACAGAGAGATTAAGATGGTATCATCCCCTGCTTCCCAGCAGCACTTCTTAGTTAGCTTACTTAATTTAGCACACTTTGGATAAAGGCTGGCTTCTCAGTCAGAGGCAAAAGGATCCAGAAACCCACCCTGGGCCGCTTGGCTGTGACAGGGACTGTGCATGAGATTCCAGGGACTCTGCCAGGGGTTTCTTAAAAGAGATCAGGAGCAGCTGGATCCTGTTGTCTGCACCCTGAATTAGAGTACAAGGTTCAAACTTGAAATTTCAAGAAGGCATCATCTCTGTTTTTATTGTTGGAGTAATGGTTGTCAAATAAAGACAGCCTTTTCAGTCCCTCAGCCTTTGTGTTGATGAAAAGAAAAAAAAAAAAAATGACAAAAGAGTGTTTCTCTAGCGTTTTGTGAGTGTGGGCACATCTGTCTGCTGGTTTTGTGCACTGTCACACTCCTGATGTGTCCTGCATTAAGGAGCCTGCTGTGAGTTTTTCCCTTGAGGAGACCTTTTAACCCAGGCTGGTGGCTGAGATGGTACTTGAGCAGCACAGAGAGCTGGCAAAGAGGAATTCTAATAAACGTGTCCTAATTCTGCTCAAAGTTTGAGAGTGGTGTGCATTCACGGAGCAGTGTGAGTAATGATCTGCTTTAATTAGAGTTGTTCTAGCACTGATACAAACTTAATGACTGTGTGGGAACAGTCGTTCTTTGCAGGAAGGTGTGACTTCAAAAGCTCCTTGTCTCGGTGTTACATCTAAAAAAACCCAAATAATTAATCCAGAATTCTCATCTATCATTCTCATCTACCCATAACAAAAATTTGACAGTGATTTTTAAAAACCTGAAGACCGAATGTTTTAAACTTTAAAATTTGACATAGTATTTTTTTCCTTAAAAAAACTGATTTTTCATCAAACCTGATTTTTTTGTTGTTCATGTCTTAGGACTATCCTAATGCTGCATGCCCTCCTGGGAGAACCTGGGGTTCACTGGGTGGTACTCAAGTGTTTAAACTGGTCTCCAGGTGGGGTCAGAGGGCATTTTCCAGATCTTGTAGAGGTACAGAGGTGTGAGGATGCCAGCAGGGGTGGGAGATGAGAAGGAAGATGGCTGTGGAGCAGGGAATGGCCCTTGGAGAGGCGGGTTCTGGAGCCTTGCCATGTGCCATGTCCCCGTGGATTTCCCACCTATATCCATGTAAATTTCCCACCCATGAAAATATAGATTTCCCAGCAATGAAAATATAGATTTCCCAGCAATGTCCATGTGGATTTCCCAGCCATATCCATGTGGATTTTCCACTTGTATCCATGTGGATTTCCCACCTATGTCCATGTAGATTTCCCAGCCATGAACATATAGATTTCCTAGCAGTGTCCATGTGGATTTCCCATCCGGATCCACATGGATTTCCCAGCCATGTCCATGTGGATTTCTGAGTCATGCCCATGTGGATTTCCAACTTGTGTCTATGTGGATTTCCCAGCCATGTCCACGTGGATTTCCCAGCCATGTCCACGTGGATTTCCCACCTGCTGTCCCCGAGCTGTCTGAGTGGAACACTCGGGGAGGAGAACAGCCTGAACAATTCCTTCTGCCAGGAAATGTGTCTGCATTGAAACCCAACTGTTCCACAAGAGCTCATCCAGTCTGATGACATCCTCAGTGGAGCTGTTAGAAAGAATGGCACAGGTTATCCTCTTTTATGGCAATTATGGGAGAGCTGGAGACAGGATTTTTTATTTTATTTTATTTTTATGAGCTGTTACCAGGATGTGGAATGTTGTCCAAGGAACACTTTCATTAGGACTGAGGTACTTAAGACACCCTGCAGACTTTTAGCAGTGCTGGCCCAGGGGGCTGCCTGAGATGATGTCCAAAAAACTTGTTTGTGTTCTCAGTGCTGGAGGAGCAGGAGAGCTTCAGGTTTCAGCCAGTGACTCCCAGCTACAACGAGGAAGAGCTTTCCTTCTTTATTTTTTCTTTCTTAGACAGCTTGAGTCTTCCCTTAATTTTACTCTTTTTTTTATTTTTTTTTTTTTTTACTTGAAAAAAAGGAAACTATTAAGTCCAGCAAATAAACAGAAGTCAGAGGATGGAGCTGAGGATTTTGAAGAATGGGTAGGTGCATGAGCACAGGATTACATCCAAGGACAAGGTCACTATTGCTTTCAGAAAATGCAGCCCAGCCTCACAGTTGTGCAGGAATGCTTGGAAGAAGTTGGCAGGTGGAAAAGAAACACCTGGGTGGTGTAGACTGCTTGGAATTCTGGCAGGTTTTCAATATAGTCCTTCTTGGTGGGGGCTTTTAAGGAAATGTAATAGTCCCAAGAAGTCAAGAAGGAAATTCCCTGTGTGAAAAAATGTGGGAAATGGATTTGTAAAGATCTACAAATCCATTTCCCACATTAAAATACTTGTCTGAAAGGTGACATGCAGGAGGGGTAAGTGCATGGTGAGTTACAGAGAGGTCAGGGATGCTCTTTACAGGGATAGGGGTTGGGACATGTGGGGTTGTAGAGATCCTGAATCATGAAGCAGTGATAAAAAGAAAGTGGCAAAAGGCGGCAAAAGAAAGTTTAATCAGGGCATGAAGGATAATGTCTGATTTAATGAAGTGAAAAAAAGTTTTTATGAGACTTATTGAGAATTACGGCAGAAGAAAGAATTCAACTGTGAAGTGATGGGGTTTTTAAAAGATATAAATAATTTAATTTCCTCATTTTGTGCTATTTTCCCATCTAAAGCAGTGGACTCTGAGCTCTTGTTTCTGCCCAGGAATGCCTTTGGATGAGCTGAGGTCTGCTCAGTGCCATTCAAATCAGCAAAACCTGCCAGGGATGGTGGTGAAAGGGGAGCAGGACAGAGCAGAGATCATGCCCTTAGGTAAATCCACAGAGCATTTACCTCTTGGAGATTGTTTGGAGCTCTGGTCCTTCTCAGAGGCTCAGAAGAGTAGAATGGATGGGCAGGAATCCTCCCTTGCTTCCTTACGAGGAAGGAGCAAGTTGGCAGGTGAGGAGGGAGCTGGTGGGGTGTGACAGAGGTTGGAGAGCTCAGCAGTGGCACTGAGGGGTGGCTGGGGATGGGCTGTGTGATGTCTCTTCCAAGGCAAGGACCAGAGGCACTGGAGGAAGCTGGCTGGTGGCAGGCTCAGAGCAAGAAAAACGAGGTGTTTCTTTGCAGGGTGTGCAAGGCTGAACCATGGAAGTTGTTGCTATAGGAGGTGATGGATGCTAAAAGTTTGCTGGGCCAGAGGGGAAGCAAGATAATTTAATGATTCAGAAATCATTGAAAATATCGTAAGAGGTAATTCCGGACCATAGACTTTAGGAAGGACAAAGAGATGTTGGGAAAATTTTACTGCCTTGCTCTTACACCCCTCCTAAGACAAAGTTTGGCCCCTGTGAGATGAGGCAAATTGGGATATTATCCAGTCCCACCCTCACACTGCACTCAGAAGGATGCCCTGGAGATGTGGGATTGACCTGAGGGTACTGTAGAAGCAGATCCCAGTCAAAGAAGAAGTGATGATATTTAAAAATAACAAATTTTAATCAGGAAATATCTCTATAATTCTCTTTTCCCTGCAAATTTTGTCTTTGTGTTCTCTCAGCTACACCAGTGAGCTTTGAACTGCTGGAGTTTTTGCAGGGCATCATTCCCACCTTCCCAGCTACCTGTGGCACACTTGGTAGAGTCTGGGAACTGAGCTGTGGACACAAGCATGTGGATTTCCTCAATGGAAAAATCCCCAATTCAGGAGCTGGGAGCATCACCTCCCATCTGGGCACAGAGGGAACATGAGTCTGGGGCCAGGGCTGCACCTGAGACACCTCAATGTGATGATCCTCCAGCCCAGATAATTCTGTGATTCCCTGATTCTGCTCCCTGTGTAGCTGCTGGCAGCCCTGCTTGGCCATTCAGACTGGAGGATGGAGCTGCCCACTGTGGTAGTAAAAAACCCTGAACTTCAGAGTCTAAAAAGCACCAGGACAACCCAGGGCACAGCACGGACTGAACAGAGGGGCTATGGCAGAAGTCAGCCTGGGCAAGCAGCCCCAGCTGGTCTGGGGGTGGCAAAGATGATAATGAGAATATAGAACCACAGAATGGTTTAGGTTGGAAAGGACCTTAAAGATCATCTAGTTCCAGCCCCCACATTATGTGCACTTGGCATGCTGTTCAGTGGGATTTAGCCCAGCTGCTTTAATTTTTTATTTCAGTTGTTTTCTTTTCCTCTCTGTGCTCTCAGTACATTTCTAATTTTTTTCCTGGTCTCATGCTTCATCTGGTGATGTATTTTCATTCATAGGAGGGCTTTTAATGGCTGTGAAGGACTTCAGTCAATGCTTCACATTTGTCCTCACCCTCAGGATTTCAGACACTTCTAATGGGCTGCTAACCCAGGACACAGGCACAGCGGGGCGTGTGGATTTTTCCTGGAGCAAACAAAGCATAAATATTATTTCCATCCTCCCTTTCACACCTACAAATCATCATTGAAGCAATCCTGGTTCTCCCCTTTTATCTCGTTCAGGTTTTAACAGTGAGAAGATGCTGATGGACAGGAATGAAACCTGGCTCTCTAATTTCTCCTCTGCTGCCTCCTCCTTTACAAGGGACGGGGTTGGGCTCCAGGAGGTTCTGGTTGGGCTCGTCCTCACCCTCATCGACCTGGTCACACTGCTGGGAAACACCGTGGTGTTCCTCTGCCCCGTGGTGGAGAAGAGGCTGCGCACCGTCACCTACATGTTCATCATGTCCCTGGCCACGGCAGACTTCCTCGTGGCCTGTCTGGTGATGCCCTTCAGGTGAGGAGGGGCTGTGGGGTGGGAGCAGAGGAGGACAAAGATTCTTTCTCCCAGCTCTTGGAGCAGGGCTGGGATTCACCTGCTGGGCTCTCCAAAGGGCTGGACTGTGGCTGTGTGTGTTTCCTGTCTCTGCTCTGTGTTATGGACCCCCCTACAATGCATGGAGACACAATTCCCAAGGGTCTTTTTCCTGTTGGGCACACAGGGACCCAGGCTGCTGACCTGAACTTGATTTCCAGCTTTGCATGTGGAGCTCCAGTCGCTGAGCTCCCTCTTCCAGGACTAGCCCTGCATATGGAATGTAAGGAATTTATTCAGTATAAGCGGAGTAATTTAGGCTTCCCCTATATTTCATGAAGAAGCTCTTGGGAGGGCAGGTGTCCCTGCATGAGGTTTATATTTATGGGAGCTTCACTACCTGGCTAAAACAGTGAAACAAAAGGCAGAAAGCAGCTGGCTTGTGATCCTGGCTGTCTCGTCCTGCAAAGCAGCCATAGCTTTGTGTAAATCAGGGAGCTGACCCTGTTTTGAGTTCATGGGACAATATGAGGAAGCTGAATTATTTTCGTGTTCTATGCTTCAGTTCTCATTGGGCTGCCTATTCCTTTGAATTTGACACTGAAAAGTATTGTCCCAACAAGCAATTACAAACTGAGTTAAAAATTCATGGTATCAGGCAAAAAATGATGTTATTTTATAAAATAACATTATGATGTTAATGATGTGGTTAACAATGTCATTTTATAAAATAATACTGCTAACTTAAATTCTATGTTTGATGAATTTAAAGTTCAGGTTCTGAAATTATAGAACCATAGTGTGGTTTGGGTTGGCAGGGGCCTTTAGGGGTCATCTAACCCAACCACTGCACTGAGCAGGGACACAGGCAACTGGAGCAGGTTGTTCAGAGCTCCATCCAAGCTGGCTTTGAACACTTGCAGGGATGGGGCAGCCACAGCATCTCTGGGCATCCTCACTGTAAAAAAATTCTTCCTCCTATCTATTTTGAATCTACTTTTAGTGACGTTTTACTTAAGCAACAAAAATTACAAAGGGGAGCAAAGATCAGAGTGTGGTTGGTGCTTTGTGCCCCTCCTGGGTGTCCTGGTGCTGCCTGGAGGGGAGATCTGGCAGCTCCTGGTGCCACGTGCTGAGGAACGGACCCTGCTGGCTCCACCAGCCCTGTCCAGCCCTGCCAACACAGGGGCTGCTGCACTTTCACACTTTCCCACTGTTTTGGCTTCACATCCACGTTGCTCTTTTGGATTTCAGTTTGCTCCTCAGTTGGCAGGTTATTACGTGCCAAAGGGAAGGAAAATAAATGATCTTAGGAGGCAGTTTGGCTCAGGAGAATGTGACAGAAGAGAAAAACAAAATTGTCCTTGGTGTCTTAATTTCATAAGAGTAAGACTTTTATTTTGTTCCTGGCTTAAGCAGAAGTGGTTCAGGTGAGCTTAGCTTGTTGTCTGAGTACTCCAGCCAGTCATTTCCAGGCTGAATATTTCCAGCTATTCTTTTCCTCTGCAAGCAGAAGGGCAAGACAGGGGTGACTTCATTGTGTGGGTTTTTTGGCTTTTCCTACTCCTTCTTATCCAGCAGCATTTCCAGGCTGCAGAAACTTTTTACCCCAGAGAAGAGGGGTCAGGCATCCATTGCCCCATGCTGTGAGGACATCTGCAGCTCAGGTGCATCCCACCAGATGTGTGCAGGTGAGAACTGGGCACCTGCTCACCTGGGATCTGTGTGCAAGGGTGTCCCCACAGCAGCACATCTCCTTCTGGGAGGCCAGGGCACACCACGGGCTCTGCAGCATCTCTGGGGATAAGGAGGGCTCTGAGGAATGGCAAAACAGCACCCAAGTCCAGTGCTGAACCCGTGCTCCAATTCTAATGCCTCATTTCCCCTCTGTAAAAGAGCCATGAAACCTTTTCACAAGTGTGCTGTGGGATCCTCCATGCTGCCCATGGTGTAGGGACAGGCTCTGCTGTAGTTTGCTTGGATTCTTGCCTGGAATCCCACATACCAAAAAGCTGCTGAGGGCTGGGACCCTTCAGCAGCACTGCACCCACCTACAGCAGCTGCTGTGCTCTGGAGCAGCCTTCACAAATCACTTTGGTGAACTGGTGCTGATGAGATGTAGATCAGGCATTGTTTTCTGACATCAGGTTGAATCTTTCCCCTGTGCTGGACACCTGAGTGCTGCAGCTCAGCAGCCCTGATCTCACTGTATTTTACCAGCAAGCTGGGAAGTTACAGGATAATTAAAGCTTTGCAGGACTAGGGAGTTACTCATCAAACTCACTCACAGTGCTGATTTCAGCAGCACCTCAGGAGCTGCAGAAAGCTGGAGAAAGAAAGGAGAAGCAAATGGCATCTCAGTGAACGCTATAGAAACATGCATCAGCCTTCCTACAGCTGCCATATGTTCCTTCCTTCACTGCTCACTTCTCACAGGCCCCTCTTGACTTTGTTAGAAATATTTTTGGTACTGTGTCTGTTTTTTCTGGTGTGTTTACCTTGCTGAGGCATTTATGAGCCACATAACATACACATAACATACAAGCTGCATGGGCTTCCTCCTGGGATGTTTTGTTTTGCGTTTTTTTTTAACCAAGAGAAATCCTTTCTGGTTTTGAAGCATTTGATTGGATGTGAAATGACTTTCTTGGAGATGTCCCATGCCCCAGGAATTGGGGAGAAATCATAAAAGACTGCGCTGTGTCAGGCACTGGGAAAATGCTGTGATAAACAGAACTGTGCAGATGTAAATTTGGGGAGCTCTGTGGGGCAAAGCACCTGTCTCAAGTCACTCAGGCTGCAAGAAGCACAGGTTTGCTGCTGTTCAGTCATGCTCTAGCTGTGGGCTGCTCCTTTTTTCCGTTGTTTTGGAGGATGAATTGCTGCTGTCTGAGCTGCGTGTCCATCTTTAGCACCTGTGTGATAAAATACAGCATTACCTCAGTCACAAAGAAATAGGCACAGAATGGTTTGGATTGGAGGGAAACTTAAAGATCGTCTTGTTCCAGCCCTGGGCAGGAACAGCTCCCACTAAACCAGGTTGCTCACCCAGCCTGGCCTCATACACCTGCAGGGGCTGCTCAAACAGCTCCCCCAGCTCTGATTTCCACCTGTTTTCTCTCCCAGCATCATTTACGAGGTGACGGGGATGTGGCTTTTTGGGAAGCTGTTCTGCAAAGTTTGGATCTCTTTCGATGTCATGTTCTGCACCGCATCCATTGTCACGCTGTGCTTCATCAGCCTGGACAGGTACTGCTCCGTGGTCACCCCCTACCACTACTCCAGAAGGATGTCCCGGGGCAGGTGAGTGCAGCTGCTCCTCCTTTTGGGTTCCTCCAGGTTGTCCTTCACTGATCTGAGGCTGAACGAGATCAGATCATTCAGGTGCTTCCCAGAAGCAAAGTGATGTGGAGAAAGGAACTTTCTTCATTTAAAACTGCAGAAAATGCTTCATGTGGTGCAGGAGAGGACAAGGATGCAGCAGCTGAATGGCTCCTAGGAGAATATTTTTTGAGCTAAGGAAGGGTTGCAAAATGGGATAGAAAACCAGTGATATGGGCTGAGTTGGACCTACAGGCTTTTCCCTGTGCTGTCATTTCACAGGAATTTCATAGAATCACAGAATGGCTTGGGTTGGAAGGGACCTTAAAGATGACCTTGTTCCATCCCCCTGCTGTGAGCAGGGACACCTTCCACTAGACCAGGTTGCTCGAGCCTTGGCCTTAAACATTTTCAGAGATGGGGAAGGACTTTGAAGAACTTCCAAGGACTAGGTGAAAGGAGACCCAGAAGGATGCATGTAGCAGCAGTCTTCCCTCTCTTAAACTCACCATCTTTTCTGAAGTGATATTCAGGGAAAACAAGGAGAGTTTCTGAGTTCCCATGAGAGTTTCATGTGAAAGGCTGAAATGAGGACTGCAGGGTGAGGAAAGTCATCTGAGGGTGGGCAGAGAGGACACTGCAGCAGTGCAGTGCTTTACAGGGTGGCTTCAGGCTCTTCTAGGAAGGTTTTCCAAATGTCATTCTTGCTGTGTGTGATTTGTGGATCACAGGCAAGGAGAGGAGGGGGAGCTCTCTGGCTCCCCTTGCAGATTCTGTCATCTGGTGTCCATCAGCTCCATCCTCATCAGGCCCCAGAGGGTGAGATATGGCAGATAGTAAAGCTAAAAGCAAAAATCTCTACATGCTGTTGTTTCAAATACGAACAAACATCTTCTGTAAAACCCTTCCTCAATTTTCTCAGACAACTCTGAGATTCCTTAAGCTGACCCAAATTCTGTCAGCTACAGACCAATTATCCAATTGCTGGAGATACACGAGTCTGGACTTGTTACAGTCCAGCCTTCTCCCTTCTCCACGCCCTGCTGGACCACTCAGCAGCGATATCCCACACAGGTTACCATGGGAATTGAATCGTACTGGATATTCTCAACCCCAAATTACTCAGACCCTCCCTCCCCTCCTCATCTCTTTCCTTTTGCAGATGCATTGTGATGACCTGCACGGTCTGGGTATATTCCTCCCTCATTTCCTTCCTTCCTGTCATGCAAGGCTGGAATGAGATCCCCGGGGTGGACTTCGATGCGGGCAGGGAATGCATCTTCGTCACCAACTGGGTTTTTGCCATCGTGGCTTCCGCCCTGGCCTTCTTCCTTCCCTTCATGGTCATGTGCAGCATGTACTTCTTCATCTACCGCGCCTCCCGCCTCAAGGCCACCCGCATCATGTCCCAGACGCTGGAGATCCACTACCACCCCAACAGCAAGCGGCAGAACCACCTGCAGCTGGAGAACAAGGCCACGAGGACCATCAGCATCATCATCTCCGTGTTCGTGCTGTGCTGGCTGCCCTACTTCGTGCTGAACGTCTGGCTGGCGGCCCGAGGCACCGACTCCACCAGCACCGTGCTGCTCGGCACCTTCAAGATCATCACCTGGCTGGGGTACTGCAACTCCACCATCAACCCCCTGCTCTACGCCTTCCTCAACAGGGACTTCCAGCACGCCCTCAAGAAGCTGCTCCTGTGCAGGCGCAGGTCTCAGGTGGATGTTGGGGAAGACATGGTTTCCATAGCCACGTTTTCCAAGACTGCTCCAGAGCTGGAATACAGCGTGACGGTGCCCAACGGCGCTCCGAAGGGCAAACCCAAGTCATAGGGATTCAAGATCAGTTGCTGGAGGTGGTGATACAGAAAGTGCTGGAGCACATCCCAATGGAAAAACAAAGGGTAGGAAAATAGGGGAAGCAGGGGCTGGAATATTACAGCTGGGGACAATACCACAAAGATGCATTTCTTCACCTTCCACAGTTTCAACAAGGAACTCAGATATTTTAGGGGCAATCTGCTATATATTAATGGAACTAATTAATTCCTGGATAATTATTTTTCTAATGAGCATTTTCTAAGAAATTCAACCTTCATGTTAGGTAAAAAAAACCAAACCAGTATGGTACAACGTGACCTTACATTTGTGCACATCCTGGTGATCTGTGTCAGGTGGGACAGTGTTTCTTACCAACCCACTGCAGCTTCTCATCTCAAAGTTTCATGACAAATTAGACCAGTTTTAATAATTCCACGTGTACCAGTCTGTGTATGGGAATTGGAGGAGGGATGTGCTCACTTCCTGAAGTGGCACCACTCTGCAGCCTGGGCTGCTGCTTAGGGTTCAGCTCAGTGGCTTCTGCAACATCTGGATATCTGGATATTCAGAACTTTCTGTGGCCTTCTGTGAAGCATCTGTGGGTTTCCTTGTTAATTCTGGAAGGGGACATGGCCTGTGGCGGAGCCCACGAGATGACAAAGACTTGCTGTAACAGTAGGAGCACTGCAGTTTCAAAGCTACAGGTGGCTGACACCATCTGAAGATATGAACAGGAATTATTACTTGTGTGTACACTATGATATCTACCACAGAGACAAAAAAAAAAAAAAAGGGAAAATATTATTTTTACTACTCCCAAGTGCTTGTCTGGACTTCCAACAGCACTGGCTCCCTGCTGGAAAGCCACAAGTGCCTCACTGGAGGGTTACTCTGAAAAGGTAGCAGGGGACTGTCCTCAGAGGTGGCAAAATGCAGGAGGACCTGCCTGGAGCATCTGAGCTACTGAAGATGCCAGCACAAGGGTGAGAAGTTCTCTCTCAAGAGCCTGGTGAAAAAACAGCCCTGACCTGGGGTTCAAGAGTGGTTCTTGTGTGAAATGATGAGGAGAGGGTGAGGTGCTCCAGACCTTACAACTCCAGCAACAACGTGGAAGTGGTAACTACCTACCTTATTCTGGGGGAAGCATCCCGTGGGCACAAAGGTGGAGAGGGCAGAAATCCTGCTGCTGCCACCCAGGTCATTTTGATAAACAGGACAAGGAATGGGGTTTCATTTCCAAGAGCTATGGGGGAGGAAAGGAGCTGAGGGATAGGCAACATCCTGTGAAAGAATGAGACAGGAGCCTGATGCTGCACAGCACAGCAGAACCCCAGGCCAAAGGCCCTTTTGCAGGGCTGTGAGCTCACACTATCCCAGTTTGGGTGCTCTTCCACAAAACAGCTGGCAGGAAAGTACACATCATTCAAAGGAAAACCTCTCAGATTAGAGAAGAGCCTTTCTCTGTCAAACCCTGGAGCAAAAAGGGACAATGACAGGGACAACACACTCCAGTGCTTAGAGAAGCAAAGACTGGCCAGGCAGTTCAGAACTGAGCATGGCCAGATGCTTTTGTGGCTGGCCAAGGAACCCACTGGAGAAGACTCATCCACCCCTTTGAGGGCAAATGTCACATCCCAGAATATACAGACACCTGGTCTGAACACATATGCTAGCTCTGGTACTGAAATACTGTAGGGCCCTTGGAATAGGCAGTTGCCCACATCCAGATATACAGCAAGTTAAAAATACCTTAATCCTCATTTCCAGTGCTCCACCTGTAATCACTGAGCTGGCAGGGAAGGCAAAGAGGCTCCACACGTGGCCATTTCACTGTGCAGCTGCAGCTGATGTGAACAGGGACATCCAAGGGAAGGGGACACAACTCTCCTGCTTTAACCCAGCCAAACACAAATGCCGTTCTGATCAGATACTCACTGCAGCATTCTGCTTTCACCTGGACAAGCCAGTACCTAGGAGCATTATCCAAGAGGACATGGAAGACAATCATTGTAATCTACTCCTGCCTCATCATAAAGCTGCAGGGTGTCAGCTGGCTTAATTGCTGGTCACAGTGTCACACCACAGTAGAGTAATCCCCAGAAGGATTTGAATCGAGCATCTTTTTAGGAAACTGATCTCAGAGACTTTAACAAATTTAAGTCTGTGAAACAGAAAAACACAATTGTTCAAGAATAGCATAAGAGCTACCCCTTCTCCACTCTCTGGTGAGCCTCCATAATCTACCCAGTTTAGAGCTCAATTCCCTTCTTTCTCCAGATCCTGTCTCACTTCCAAGCAGCACATTTGGTTTTGCGTCATCACACACGCTGTGGCCAGTGTGAGACAGGGAAGCAAAGGAAGTTTCAGGAGTGCAGAGCCCATCCTGTTCCCACTGCACAGGGCTGCCATCTGCAGCACACACCGATGCAGGCTTCCAACAGAAGCAACTACTATTTTGTCTTATAAATAAAAAAAGTTTATTAAATCATTTAGACTTGAAAGAAGTCACAATAATCAATGCACTCAACAATTACAGCAAGTGCATCCTGTACACCACCAACCCAAATGGATTGATTCTGTATTTTATAAATAAAAATTAACATATTTACAGTGAGAAATAAAAGCATGGCATTAGGCAGTTAAATTAGCAGATTACAGAAATGCCTACCAGTTGATTTTTTTAAAAAGTACAAATCTACAAGATTACATATGACATGTATGACTTCATTAGGTTTAAATTTTCAGAATCACAACATTTTGTACATAATTTTGACTATGGCTCTTCCAACCACTGCCTATAAAACCCCCATTTAATGGCAAAAAGCTCCTTAACCTTCTCTACAGCTTCATCCGTGTAAGATGCAATCCCTAAGATCTACTGTAGTGCAGAAGTATGAAATTATTTCCTCTAATGACAGGCTATAAACAGTGACAATATGTACAACTGTGGTACTTTTTTGCTTTAAAAATAGTGCAGATTCCCAGTTTACCCACCAGGGACAAAAATGGAGTCAAAGTTAATTTCAAAATCATCTTCATTTCACCAAAGAGCAAGTGACCCGGATAGACACTCACTAGGCTTAGAGACTGTAATTTGCTCTATAAAAATACAGTATTTTAATTCTATTTACATGTTACAGATCTCTCACTCACCCAGCAAGCTGACATTTACAAGCTTCAAAAAAACCCAAGAAACCCCCCAAAAAAAGGATAATGGAGCACAATATTGGCAAGCACAGCAGCTGGACCCATCCGCTTAGGAGAGCAAAGGTAAGGAAAATGGAATGTGAAAGATTTGGTTACTGGGCTTCATTGGTTGTCAAAGTAAACAAAAATATGTCCAACATGTCTTATACATTAAACATGGCAAAAAAAGCTGACGTAAACTATTCCCAAGATAAACATTCTGCATCATAGGATCCTTCTGCTGAACAATCCCTGTGAAACCTGCCGAGTGGAAGAAGTGATCCTGAGGAGAGTTATTTGCTTGGTTGTCTGGAATGTTTATTTCCTGATAGGCTCATTGTCCGTGACCTCTGCCTGAGCACGGGTTTGGGTGGCAGCTCCAAGTCCTCAAAGACAGGATTTTCTATGATTGCTGCAGCCTCAGGTCGTTCAGTGGGACTTGGAGAGAGCATGTCCTTCACCATGGTGTACTGAAAGAAAACACAACATATATTACATGAACCAATCCATAAACTCTTCCTCATTTCATGTCCTGGTGTCAGCTGTGGCTGTGTGAACCAGTGGAAAATACCCCCAGCTGCTGAGTTATTGGGTGTTACTGCTTTGACTCAGTAGTTAGATGTGCACTAAATATTTTAAAATGTATCACTGTACATCTCTTAAAGTGTCCTTACTGTCACTGGACACAAGGTTTAATAGAGTTATAAAAAACTTCACATTATTTGCAATCAAAATTACATTTATGAGACATAATTTATATGTAATGTTTAGATTAATGTTTAAGCCATCACGTATTTAGACACATTGAATTTTTCTCGTGGCAAATTAGAATCTTTCCTTTAAATATACAAGTAGTCTGAATATTTGTTTCAAATTTTATCAGAATTAGTGTCCTGCTCCAGCTGAGCACAGCATAGCCCCTTCTCCCAGGCAGCCTTCAGCAGGACAAAAAGGCAAAGCAGTTGGAAAGCAAAGAAAAAAAGCTACAAATATTAATGAAAAAGCTGTAGTTAATAGCACCAGCTGTACCTACCTCTTGTGCATAATTCTGAGTGAACAATGGTGGAAACTTCAAATTTCGAACATCACTTAAGGTCTGCAAAATACCAAGAATGACATTAACTTTTACAACATATAATTCTTTAGTAATTATTACCCTTATCCTTCAAAAATATGCAAATTATGCAAAGAAATCAGCCTGCTGGAAAGAAAACCTTTTGTTTTAAAGTGTTGCTTTAGTGGTTAAAAATCACAACCTAGCTGAACAGGTGAGTTGGTGCTTCCCTAGGTATTGAGCCTGCAACAGGGAGAGTTGAGCTACAAGAACTGTGATCTCTGCAATTTCAAATCAGTCAGATACATGAACTTGTACTTTCTCACTTTACCTGAACAAAATCAACAAATCTGTGCACTACTCATAACTCCCAAGATGGCCTACACCAGTATTAAGACACATGAAATAACTGCCTCTGCATTATCGATGTAAGCACCTGTCTTTGTTCAACATTTAAGGAGGAATGAGAACATTTATCAGCAGTTTGGAAAGCAGTTGTGGTTGGGCATTTCTGTGCTTCTTTCATACAAAGGTCACTGGCTCCATCTAGTGACAGTGTTTTTCCCATGTTCAGCCAAAAGAACAGTATTGAGCACTTCAGTTTCTTTGGAAGGATCTCCTTTTACAAAAGTTTGAGCACAAAATACAAGCATTCTAAAGTTAAATCAAAATTCATTTCACTATTACTCCACTGGAAGTAAAAAGTGACCCATTAATAGTGATGAGCAACAGCCAAACTCCTGTTCAAGAGAACTGAGTTTGAGGACATTAAAATGCTTCAGAAAACTTTTCTTCCTTTCTGACAGTTCAGTCTGCATCTAGTGATCTGTTTTCCAGCATGTCATTTGGAAACAAATTGCACTGCTACTGACTAACTGCTCACAGCCTGAGACAGAGGCAGCTCTCACGCTCCACCTCTGGGGATTTTTCCAATCAGTTGTCACAAATTCCTAGAATTTGCTGGGTTATTTGGTCAGGCAGAGCATGTTTTGCTTCAGCAAGCAGTGCTAATGCTTGGCTGATGCCAAAGAAAACCTCAGTGTAACAATACAGAAATAACTACTGAAGCAGCCAAGTTCCAGAACCTGGCAATGAAAGGGCAGGGGTTTCTTTTTAGCAAAAAGAGTGAAATGACAGTGAAAATCCTGGAAAGTCTGGGCACTCTTTTAACACTCTCTTCAAGTAAAAATTCAAATTAGATGGAATTAAGGTTTTATTCTGATTACTTGCTTTGCTTCTGTTCTTAGCAGAGAAACTGGAGGGGCAAAGTCTGTATTCACTGCTGCAAGATATCTGACAATCCAGGATGGCTCTGTCCCAGGTATTTTGTTTCAGTAGAACTGATTTAGAGAAACTGAAACTGATTTCAGTGTCAGAGGTTCAAATTAAACACCAATTCCTCCTCCAGACTATACTCTCTGTGCCATTAAAAGCCAGAGCATTTAAATCAAGAGAATGCAACAGATGAAGCACTTAGGCTGCTGTTCAAGTTGTTTCTTACCTTTCTGCTAAACCCACTCCATCTTCACCTAAGAATTTAATGCCCTCAAGCACATTCAAATGATAAATACAAGTTTTAATGACTCTTTCTTCCCTGCACAGGTCACTGGTTGTCACAGAGGAGAGACCTTTCTGGCTGTAGCCCCTGTTCTCCATGAACTTGCTCCTGAGCAAGATGAATCTTGCACTTTAACAGCAAGGAAGAGCTGTGATGCACAATCAAACATCCCAAATTCACATCTGGTGAATGTCATCAGTTACGGGAAGATTGTGCTTGAAGCTGAGCGAGACTCACAGCTAAGACTCACTACAGGAAAAGGAACAGCCATTTTTCACTGAGTGCTCTGGGTGAAAAAGCACTAAAGATGTAAAAGAAGGAAGAAATAATCAAAATGCACAGCATGGTTCCAATTCTTGAATGAAAATCAAGCTGGTAGGATTTTAAGTCACAAGCTATATTTGTTGCTTGAGTTCTTGGATATCATAGTTCAATAGTTTCTCTTACTTTGCTTGACAACAGAGGAGCTTTGTAAAGAAATTAAAGCCTCAATTCAACCACACACAGTAGGAAGACTGCAGTTTATTTTCAGTGATTCAGGGGATCTGTACAAGGCTGATAAAGAAGTTGTGCTCCTAGCTGCAAGGCTTTTCTCCAAAGAAAACAGAACAGGAACCTCTTGCCAGTGTTTCACCAAGCAAATAGCTGTTTTAAACAAATGCTCAAACTGAAGATAACCCAACACCACGCATACCTTGACCCTCTCCATCTGTGTGCTGAAGGGGTAGAGCAGCTCAAAGAGAATCAGTCCCAGAGAAAAGATATCCACCTTGTGCGAATAGGTGTTGCCACAGATCTGAGAAGGCAAAGTCAGGGTCAGGGCAATCAAGCTACTGCATACAATTATCTGCAAAGTAAATATCACCCTTGCAAGTTCACCTGTGGAAGTCACCAGCCCTGTGCAGAGCTGAAAGCTGCAGCACAGGAACATAGATGAACTCAGCAATGAGCACCAGGGAGCAGGGTCCTGATCCTCAGCTCCTCTGTGCTGCAAAGCAAAATGTTTCATCCTAGTTAACCTCATGCACAGAGTGTGTCCTTGTTCAATTAAGTGGAATCTTTTACAGTTACCTTCCTATACTGCATTAAAAGCAAGAAAAATGAATGCATCCCATCTGAATAATTAGCAGCTGTTTTTTTGCTGTAACAAATATATATATTTAAATATTCATTTTGGAATTCAATTTAGCTCAAAACTCTATTTTTATGAGAAAGAATTTAAGTGATTTGACTGCAATAGTTTACTAGGAATGCCTGATCTTAGAGCTCCCAAAAATTCAGGGCTCTTCCGGGCACTGCCAAGCACAGCTTTAGAGAAGAGAGCACAAACCTGTTCCGGGCTCATGTAGAGTTTGGTCCCTACTTGTCCTGTGTGCCTGGCATAAGCTGGCATTGGGGTCAGAACTGATTCCTCCTCCTCATCTTGGTCCATAGCAGTCACCAGTCCAAAATCCCCAACCTTTACTATGTCATCCATTGTGAAAAATATATTGGAAGGCTGAGAAAACAAAGAGGTGAAAAGAAAAAGTAAGTAACAAACAAATGTCTGTGTTTCAGTGGTAATAACACTTGGTTCTAACACAGAAGCTGTCAAGGTTAAAAACGTTCATTAAAGTGCTGAAGAATAGCAGTTAAGAATTGTAACTATTCAGGAAAAAGGAATTTCTCCTGCATTAACCATTGTCTCTTCCTGAAGCTCAGACTGCTCACTTCTTGTCATTCAGAAGAGGTTTACCAGCAGCACACAGGTCTGCTGAGGAACACACTGAGTCAGCACTGAGAACAGCACAGCTAAGTTACCCAGCTCACAAGACACTTTCACACCACATGCTGCAGTTCCATCTCCTGGGCTTTTGTATTTTAATCCCTAAGTGCAAAAGTGGTTTGCTGTATTTATCAACCAGCACACAGCACATCATCTCACTATTACAGATAGAATGGGAACAAGGCCTGATTTTCAGTATAACTCTGCAGTTTAAGGTGGGAATGGCTGTTTGCATAACGGAATTAAAAGTTTATTTTTGGTAGAAGCTTAAGAACTTTGCAATTCATAAAGGCAGCAACAGTGATGATCTGGCTTAACTCTCCTTTAGCTTGTTTGCCACACACCACCATCCTTGGCTTTGCCTACTGATAAAGGAGACTGGAACAGAGATGTCCCTTGGCCAATGGTGCACATCCAAGAGACTATTTCAATAAATTTGCTGCCTGGCTGATAGAACAGCACCCACCAAAAGAATGCTTATTCCCTTGAAATATAAGCACTCCAGCTGGGTCACAAGTACAGACACAGTTTTGGGGGAAGAACAGACTGATCCTGCAAGGGGAAGGAAGCAGCAGGATGCTGTACAGGGCCAAGCTGTGAAGAGGCAGGTGGTGCTGGGCAAGCTCCCCTCAGAGCTCCTGGGCCCTCGAGGCTGGGAGAACATGGTCTGTGCTTTGCTGACACCAACAGGAGCAGGAAGTCAGGCAGAAGGCAATATTTTTCCACAAGATAAAGGACCACAAAGCTCACCTATTTCTAAGTCCATCTGGCTTCCTCAGTTAATAACAAACCCACTGTGTGCACAAGAAACAAGACAGAAAAAAGGATTCTTGTAGTTTTGGTTTTTTTTTGTTTTGTTTTGTTTTTTTTTAGGTAATGGCCAGCTCTGAGGGAAGCACTAGAGAAACACTTCCACAGTGTCCACATCCTGCCTCTGCCTCCTGAACCAGGTCTTACCCTCCACTGTATTTCCCTGTAATGAACATCCAGCCCTTTGGAGTCACAGTGCATTCAGGGCACAAAAGCCACTGCCCTGTAAACCCACAGTGTCTCCAGGCTCTGGCTGAAGAATTTACACAGCACCCATCCCTCAGTGCACACCCATATGGTCAAAAGTCTTGATATCAGAATTTTAATGCTCAAGGAATAAACATCTTAATCAGGAGTTTGTATCCCATTGCCTTGATCTCCACTCTCCTCCTACAACAGGCAACATTTGTCTTGCTTCCTGGGGAAAAACTCCTCATAACAGAAAGTTTATTTTAATACTTCTGCAGCTGGATACAGACTGACTCTGAAAAGGCTGGCACATGGTTTCTACAAGTAAGAGGAATGGACTCTCTGCTATTGCAAAATATCAGCAAAAAGAAACCATCAAGATCACATTTGGAAGAAGAAAAAGCCTAAGGCAGAAGCAGACAGTTTTGATTTAAATCATCAGCAGAGTACAATCAAATATAACCACCCTCTAGTTTAGTTATCTTGCCACCTGCAGAAAGAAACTTCTCTCTATGTTCTTCAGTCAGAATAAGAATTCCCATTTTTTCACATGAATAAGCTTCTCACACATCTGGAATACTCTGTTTAATTCAATTAATGCTGCAAAATGTATCCAAGACTGTTCTTGCAGTTCTGTGAAACTGATAATTTCTTTTGAGCCGCCAAGCATGACCGACAGCTTATCCTAAGAAAAACAGTTAATTCACTTGACAGGCAGACTTTTGTTTTTGCACTTCATTTTCTTCAAAAGAATTTCAACTCTGACCTCTTCACTTGCCCACATAAATTCCTGACATCTTGTCATTACAGTATCTCTGATTAGCAGGAGCCTAATTAATGCATTTTTAATGTGCACTGTTAATTTAAGTATTTAGATTACTTCTTGGATCTTTTAATATGCCCACCTAGCAATTTATTTTCACACAGATCTAACAGCTTTTATTGGTGCCAATGGGAGCAAGAACTGGCCTCTGCTATCACTGAGCTCTGCCTGCAGCCAAGCCAAAGCAACTTTGCAGATTGTTCAGTTGTTAGTGCTGGCACCAACTCAGGGCTGCATGACCAATCTCTTGGACAAATTACAAAATCAGATGAGATCTCTTCCTAGGAGCTTCTGAAAAGTATAGAAAATAATTAAATAAACTGGCTGTTGTTTTGACCAAATTAACACATAACAGACAAATAAACTTTGGGATCCAAGAATAACATCTATACAAGCATAGAAAGTTTCCTGAAGGAGGAAGTTGCTCATCCAGGGAGATTGTTTCCAAGTTGGTTATACCAAGTAAACAAAATTAAATCTCTCGTTCAGACTGCTGCCAGCACTGAACTTTTAAGATGTTCCAACAAAACATTCTACACCTGATTAAGACTAATACAGTTTTAAGTGAAGATCTACGTAAGATTTACTGAACTTTACTGAGCTCAGTGAAGACTGCAGAGGGCTACAACTGACAGTATTGTTAAGAAAGGTTAATTAATTAACATGTCTAGCAACGTATTAGTAGAGGGATTTAATTACTTTTATGGCCAGTTTCTCAAGCACTGACAAAGATTTGTCAGATAACTGGTTCAAGGTAATTGCCTAATGCTGATGGGAAAAGAAAATGCTTGGGAGGGCTCATGAGTTTTTCTAACTCTGACATACCCTTTGAGGATTACTGAATTTGAACCTCCTTTTACTGCCACATCTGACATGGTATTTTTTTAGCTTTTGCTTCTGCTGATAGCAAATTACCATCTAAGAAGCCACAATCAATTCAGTAATTACTCCACTGAGGTAGGGTACTACTGACTCCTCAAACAAGCAAAGAGAAACAGAACTGTCCCCACTTGGCACAAGGGATAAATTTCTCAGAGCTTGGCCTAAGAAAAACTAAGTTTGGCTGGGCTCTTCAATTAAATTTATTTATTTGGTAACACATACTAACACTTCCAGTGCTTTATGTTAGAGCAAAATCAGGCACTAGCATGGGAGGATCATGAACAAACTGAAAGAAAAGGTACAAGGTACTCCTGACTTCAGTTCCACTGAACATCAGAGGTGCTAACCACCTTTCCTAGTCCTCACTGCCTGGATGCTATAAGACATTAAAAATACTGTGAATCCTTCAGAAAGCTTCACTGTGACAGCTGGCATTGGCTCACATCTCTGCTCCAGAACAGTTTACACTTCAATCCGATAGCAGCACTACTTAATTTTTACTTTCTCTAACCAAGAGTAACACTGCTCCTTTTAGGCTGTATTGCTATAGAAAGAAGGAAAATACCACAATTAGAATCACAGAATTATTTAGGTTGGAAAAGACTTATAAGACCAAGTCCAACTGCAAGCTCCACACTGCCAAATATCTGCTTCACTTGAAATAGTAGAACAGGATCCAAAATAGCTTTGTCATATAGCTCAGCACTGAACAACCCTGTACAAAGAACATGAATTAAAAATACCATAGGACAAAAGCCACTGATCTGTGCCAGGTACAAGAAGTCTTGCTGTAAGAAAGACTTTAATTGCAGTAACAAGTGATGAATATTTATTTCCTGGAGCACTGCACCTCCAGATTATTGCACAGACATTAATTCAGCTTTTTAAACACCCATGCCGAGGTCACTGAGAGGAATCAGCTATTTTGGCAGGCTTTGTCTGCAGTGCCACATTCCTCCCACATGCAGCAACCTATGGATACAAACCTTGAGATCCCTGTGCATTAATCCTTTGCTATGCAGAAAGTCAACAGCTTCAGCAATCTGCAGAAAGATTTGCAGACACTCTGTCCTTTCCCTCTCCTCTATGGTGCATCTTCTGCTCATCCAGTCTTTAAGGTTCTCTTTCCGGCAGAGCTGCATCTGGATGTACAGATACACCTTTGGAGAGGTGGGTTTGACTTTTTCTACAGTGTTTTTAGAAAGGTCCAGGCTTAAACTCGTTGGCCTTGGAGGAGAAACAGAGAGGGGACTTCCTGAAGCAGATTTCTTGTTATTAGATTCCTTTGTACTTTTCTCTTTATCCTCAGAAGGACTCTCATTATGTGAAACATCAACTTTATCTTCCTTACTAGAGGCATTTCCACAGCCAGAATCCTCAAACACAATAGAGGAGGAGGTCCCTTCCTTCAGATGTACAACAGGAACAGATGAAGGACAAATTTCCAAGGAGTGTCCCAGCTCATTACTGTTGATAGTACTGTCTTCTACATCACAGCCTGTAAGGACACTGTCCTGAAGGTTTAATAGTGGATCTTCTGAGTGCTGCAAGTCCCTGTTGTCTGTGCCAGAAAATTCCAGAGGAGAAAACTGACTTCCAGATGAATCTGACTGACCACAGGGTATCCCCACAGCCCTCACCATCT